TATGAAGATGCCGGATAAATCGGCCAATATCTTCAACGACGATATCTTTTCTTGATAAGATAAAAAGGTAAAGATAATTTATAGTTAATAACGGATCTGGTTTCTTGCTTTTGAAACTAAGTAGCATTCTCCCTTTTTCGTAAAAATGGAATGTTACGCGGAGTAGACGATGGTCCGATTCCGTGTGGAATTTAGGAGCGACAACATCACCTGTTGAGGATAGCCTTCGATCTGCTACGATACGGTCTAAAACGTTATCTTACCATAAATTAAGCCAGACTGTAACGTCCAGCATTGCGACTTTTGAAGCTTTTGAAACTACGAGTACGGATTAATCAAGTCGGAAGATATGAACATTTGAAATTCGCCACCTTTGCGTAGAAACTGCGTCAATCAAAATTGACCCGTATTACTCAAGCGTCAAACTTTAGATTGTACGATCTTCACGCAACAAAGATATTTTAAGCTTTTTGAGCGATTTTCCATATGAATACTATGTGCTAATCAAACTGTAGTGCAAAAAATCTGAGAGGTAATACTCTTCAAACTAGCTGGATAACTACTGACAGAAGTGTTTTCACGGCATACAGCAAGTTTTTTGAAGATTTCTTTCGGTAGCTGGAAAAGATGGACTTAATCTGTCCGACGGATGTTCACATTCACGATGACATTGCCTCGCTTAAGACTACGACTGAAGGAGTTACGGTTTCAAATGATAAATTTAGGTACGTCACACACTGTTAAACCTATTCGAGACACAGCTTGTTTTAATTTTTCCTTGGAATTCTGGTGATCATCCTATTGAAGAGGTTTTGGCGAAGTCAGTAATGTATGGATTTTGGAAATGCTCTCTTGAAGCAGTGCTACAGCAGAAACAAGATTGCGTTTCATCTTTGGCGCAAAACTTTTGCTCGAATAGGATTTGTGAACGACTTCTCGAGAGAATTTGGTACCTGTACATTAGCTTGCAACACGTTGATTCTGAAACTTGTTTCGATTTTCGAGAAGGTCTCCGTGGAGTATAAAAGCTTTATAGTTTGACCATACCGCATTTTTTTCTTTCTTTCTTCATTTCTTCGACTCTAATGTGATGTTAAAGCCTACTTCCGCAGTTCCCTAAGAGCACAATGAGTGCATCAGTCACTTTAACACCTGAAACGAAAGAACTTATGTTAACTAACTGACCACTTCAAAAGTTCGTAACAATTTGTCTCATCTCTCAGAAAACTTTTTTTTTTTCAAAATTGCAAGGACGGTACGGCTTGTGTTTGCCGTTCATGAGAAAACTGTTTTCTTATAGGCGTATGAAAGGAAATTAGAATATCACATAATCGCTCCAACTGCTTTGTCTTCCTATCAAAGTTTGCTTTCTTACTTTCACAAATCAGACATCCAAGACAAAATCATTGCTTCATTATCAGCGCAATAAGCGGCAGGTGGAGATTGCTTAGAGATTGCAAAGGTATGAATTTAGTTGTCTTTCAATTTACGCTGCTCTCTTTCTGCGTAGATTAGCGTAATTTTATCTCCGTTTTTTATACTGAGTGTTTCGAGAAATGCTAAATAGAAAAATAGAAATAAAGAAAAAGAAATCTTGGAATGCTAAATAATCAATTTTGAGCCACGCCTGTCATGTGGTCTGTTATAAGGGCTGACTTATAAAGCCCGATACATGTATTTCATCCTTGACGGTTTGATCAAAATTTGAAGAAAAAACTTATTATTCATTGACTTTTGGAAAACTATGTAGATCAAGTCAATAAACTAAGAATTCCATGCTATTTCATTCTCTGCTCCGTGAGTGACTAAGTTATGATGTTATCTTCTCTGATTGAATTATTCAAATTATATGACAACTATGCTATAAAGTTGTTCTCCTGCTAAGATTTGCACGAAGCAGTTTTATAAAATCTTTTTTTTTGTGCTCAAATGTTGTTCTGCTTCTTCAAATATTTTCAGGCCAATTGATTTGAGATATTGTTCTTCATGTACATGCTCAGTTGTTCCATGGTTATCCTATGAACCATCTTTCTCTAACTTACACGACATTAATATATCCTTAATAGATATAGCTGTTACACGAAGTTTCAGACAAGTAGTGTTCCCAAGATTGTATTCATTATTCATTGCTTGATTTGGAGAATTTCGGTTTTACAAATTGATCAACGATTTTCTTTTCTACGATGACATTCTATCTCTATCATTTCCTTCATTGTGTCTGACTACCTACTACGTCATCTTTGATGTATTTGTCCGTCTGTTGTGAGTACACGATTAAATGATTGCACTTATTCTAGTGATGAGTAGACGAACAATAATTCAAATTTGTTCTCTTCTGGTTGATAAAAATGTGAAAATTTCGTCTATTTTAGAGATCTCAGCGACCACTTTTCATTCCTTAAAGGAGGAGTATGGCATTTTCATTCCAAAACTCGGTAGAAAAATTATGGCACCGTGGAGGTCCAATTGGCGTTCAAAGTCGACTTGGTGTTCAAAGAAGAGCTTTTAATTGATCGGTAGTTGACTCAGGCATATGCAACTACAATAATTTTGCCCTCCTTTGTAATCAGGTTTGCTTCAAGTGATCAAATGGCAGTTTTTGAGAACAATTTTCCATGAACAAGTCGAGATATCGCATCTACATCTTACAATCTGTCTTTCTATAGCAGAAAGCTTAGGAAAAAAGCTATTTTAGAAGTGAATAGCTTTTAAAAAAGCGAGGTTGTATGTAAGCTCCACTCTTTTATAATTGCAACGAAGTTTTTTAAATCGCAGCCACAAGTGATCTTCTTAGCAGAGAACTTGTCAAGAGTATGTATAAATGAATAGACGGTAAATACAAGTAGATAAACAACGATGTAAATGTATACCTTCACATGTACAAAAGTCATGAACAGGAGCCTGCATGCGCATATCGCTTTTACGCCGAACCTTATGATTGGGCTGTCCCATAATTTGTTTAGTATTTCGACACATTTATTAGATCAGTTGTTATTTATTCAAAGAGATGAATAAGTCAGCATTACAGTCGCCATCACAGTGATAGGCAATCATTTTCGGGGCAGCAGATGGGATGTCTTCCTACCAGAAAGAGTGAGACCAGAGATCAAAGGAGTCGGTGAGTTCACTTCTAAACTGATTGTAGTGTTTAAATTTCCCATTGCTGATGGTGTTAATCTTGAAATTCACAGCACTCTTCAACACGTTGCAAAAGTTGCAATAGTTGTAGCAGTTGACCTACGAAGTCCTGCATTTGCCGCACTTATCAAGTCTTCCTGTTACCAGCAATTCGCTTCATCAAGCATATCAATAAGCAGTGGCTCAAATATCTTCAGTACTAGAAGCGCCCACCAAAGTGCAAGAAAATCGTTTTTCTTCCAAAGCATGAGATCTTTGAACTATTGAAATAGATAGGCCTATATTCTGCACCTTGCTATATATTACAGCAATAATAGTATCGTCAATCCGAAATCATTTTTATTTGACCGTCACTTGTGGTGTTATGATGTTTCTAAAAAAGAAACCCAATGATGTAGTGTTGTGCAAAAACACTTGCGTCAAACAGGATTCGAACCCAAATCTCACTTTCCGGCAGCGTATGCGAAACGTTGCACCATAAAGATGATTTCGGACTGATTATTGATATCCAATATCTGTCAGAATAACTGAGTTCAATGTTGATTGTCACCGCCCACGCCAAACCGCGCACGGTTGGCTGCTGACAGATAACGCGTTGTAGCGATTAAAGAGTGCTTTGCAAAACGAGCGACGGTGATGCAACGGTTAACTACGCTCCCGAAAGAAAGAGATCTGCGTTCGAATGCCGGCTGACGCAAACGCTTTTGCAGAGCACTCTACATATTGAATAGCACCGTCAGTTTGCAATATAGGATCAGTTCACAGAGGATTTACCATTAGCGCAAACGCGCATCGTTAAGGTTGATAATCCCTTGATCAGTTAAGCCAAGATGCCATAGAAATTAGATAAAACCAAAGCCTCTGATTCTTCTACCACTGCTTTGAAAAATTTATTTAAAATAATGTTGAAAAAATTGATAAGTCTCTCTCTCACTTTATTCACTTCATTCTGCCTTCACCACAGTTTCTGCTCTAGATTAATGTTATCCGTTTATTTACTTTCAGTCGTCTGTGATGACCACTAATTCCAATTTTTTGCAAATGCCGAAGCGACATTCGTACCGATACCGAAGAAGTCAAACCTAAATTGAATAAGTTGTGCTGGAATAAGTAACTATTTAGAGTATTTGATTGTTCCAAAAATTCCTTGAAACTAATGCTCAATTCAGCTTCATTCTAAATCAAATCGGATCATTGCCGAAAGGTGTACTCTGAAGATCATTCTAGTAACACTACACTTGAGAACGGCCGTAGTGCCACCGTTTGCGTCCAAAAAATTTAGACCGCCGTAAAATGATGTCTCGATGAACACCCCATGCACTGATTGGCCGCTCGACAACGAGAAGACAATCAACGCCGACGTCTAGGGCCAATAACTTTGGAAGTTGAGCGAAGCAGTACGAGATGAGCTTTCGAAACGACTGAATGTCGTCCTTCTCTAGAATAACGATCGGCTTCACATAGCAAAATCGACATGGCACATTTTGAAGTAACTTGGCTGTACCATGGCGTTACATCCACCGTGTAGTCCTGATATGGCTCCATCATAGATCATCATATCTTTAGCGCTTTGAAACAGCATTTGCATATAACAGAACTGGAAGGACCACCGCCACCTTAAATGTGGCATCACCGATTCATTTGATCTTTAGCCTCGTTCTTTCTGGTAGGAAAATATCCGATGTTTGTCTAAAAAATGGTTGCGTTTCATTGATCATGACGGTGATTGTATATTATTGGGTATATTACAAAATCATACCACCGCTAGTGGCGGTCAGATGAAAAGAGCCCCGCCGGACCGTCGACGGTTGGCTGCTGACAGGGAACGCCTTGCAGCGTATGAAGAGTGCTGTGCAAAAGGAGCGTTACTGGTGTAGCGGTCAGCAGACGCTCTCTGGAAGAGTGAGATCTGGGTGCGAATCCCGGTTGACGCAAATGTTTTTGCACAACACTCCACATTATTGGATGATTGTATAGTATATTAATTGACTTCTTTGAATAAATAGCAGCTGAAAACAGCTGTGCCGAAGTGCTAAGGAATTATGGGATAAGGTATGCGTGCAAGCGATACGCAGGCTGTTGCGCATGTTTTTGTACATGTAGTGCATGTAAAGATGTAAATTTTTCTATTTACTTTCTATATAATTATTTATTTATTCACGCACCAAAAACATATATATATACATATATATATGGATATATATATATATATTCATACATAGAATAGTATAAAGAAGAAGTTCCTTAACACCCTCTGAAATATCAAAGTTTATACATAAACTTGATTGAAAAAACAACAATATCTTTGCTCAAAACAAGTATAACCATTATCCACGCTCTTCTGTCAACGGTTTGAGAGCTTTCGGATCTGATTGAAATCGTCATTTCATGGGATCTGAATCGAAAAAGTCCTTGACCTGCCTTTTCAACTTGATCAAATGTCTCGAATCAAATGTGGGTGTACAAAATCTTTGCGTCAGGCGAGATTCGAACCCTCATTTTACCGCATCCGAGGAGCAAATGATCCATCTCTTTCGCTACCAAATCTCACTTCGCCACCACTTTTTATACGTTCTGCTTCATCTTCGTGTACCAAGAGTGGTGGCAAAACAGCCGTCGGTAGTGCAAAGTATGGAATGCACCTAAGTCTCTCCCGATAGGGTGAAATGCGGGCTCGAGTCTCGGCTGATGCCAAAGTTTTGCTCATCACTCCACTCATTGAGTATATTCATAACACCATACCACCGCTAGAAGAGGTTAAATAAATAGAATTCTATTCGATCAGCTAAGTAGTCTCTCTGCTACAATCACTTGTATCACCTGCTCCCTTGTTGATAGTCAAGTGACTCGAGAGAACATCAGCAACACATCCATTTTTCGCTATCGTGTACAAGAGTAGTCCAGTGGATCCTCATTGCTGTAGGGATTCGTCGAGCATCATATCTTCCTTCTAGCCTTTTCGTGAAGAAATCGGACCATCAGGTTGATGGTTACACTGTGAAGCGCTTGATATCTCTAGGAATCAAGTCGGTAAAGGCTCTCGTCCATCGGTTGTCGTTGAAGCACATCACACATCCGTTTCACCTTATTTTCAATATCCTGCCGTTTGGAAGGGAGTCTTTGATCTTCGATCATTGACGTTGGTCGAAATTTTGGATCATCTCCGAGTTATGGGATAGTCCTAGCATCGACATGTCAACTGTGCGTTCAATAACGCCAAGTGATCTTTCATCCAGCTTACTTAACGGCCATGTTTCTGATGCATACGTTAGAGCAGGTATAGTCACCGAGTAGGAAAGATGGGAAAGGAGTCGCATGTTCTTTGTCCTCCTCATTATATCCTCGACGTTATTGAACGTTCCCCAAGCCGAGCGTTTTCACCTATTCAACTCTGAACCTGGATCGTTCATTGTGTTGACTTTACGAACTAGACAGACGTAACTGGACAATGCGGAGACTTTCACTTTATTGAGCTTGGAAGGGATATTCATAAGCCATTCGTTCCTCATCGTATACATCGTTTTCGATAAATTTACTTGAAGACCGATCTTTGCACAGCCGCTGTAGAAATTGGTCAACATTCGTTATGCGTGGCTGATGCTTAATATTATGACGACAATATCTTCAGCAAAGCAAAGATGGTTTAATTGTCGATCGTCAATTTTCACTCCCATTTTTTCTCTTTCTAATATTCGCATGACGTTTTGGAGGGTGGCAGTGAATACTTTTGGCGAAATTATATCACTTTGTGGAACCCCTCTTCTTACGCCAATTAATTAATATAACGTATATTATAACGCATAAAAAATAACTTAATATTGCTGTATTATGGCGATATTTTAGTCGTGAAATTTTCGTAAAGCTCACTGAGAATCGTTATGCTCCGAGGCCCTGATTGGCCAGGCCTCAATGACCGCTTCTGTTTCCACTGAATCATAGACTTTCTTCATTTGAATCAAAGTAGGACAGGGCGGTAGTTTGTACTCTAGTGAAGCTTCAATGATTTTTGTGATAGCATTGATGCGGTCTACTTACTTAATAATTATCGGGTTCCAGCTTTTGTCCGCTAGTTGCCCTTCGTCCAGTGTTCTGTGAGTCCTCTTTAGGATAACTTAAGCTAAGAGTTCATAGACAGGGGACAGCAAGCAGATTGGGCGATAATTGCCTATGTCGTGGAGGTCTCCCTTTTCGAACAACAACGCGGCCTTGCTAGTTTTTCATCGAAGGGGAACCTTACATTCTGACAGTGTTGATGAGAACTGCCGGAATGTTTTTCAGGTGTTCTGGTCTAACCCTGTCTAGACCGGGTGTTGTTCTGTTCTTCACCGACGATGTGGCATGTCGGATTTCGAAAGGGAGACCAGTGGAACGACCTGTTCATCCTTCTTCTATTTATATGACGGTAAGAGGACATGGCTAGCAAAGAGATCTGAGCAGTATTGGTGGATGAATATTTTATAGCCCTTCTCGAAGCTGTAAGTGTCCCGTCAGGGTATCAGAGTGCAATCATCTTGGTCTTATAGTTGGCGAAGCCTCGCTGGGCTTTGCGAATACTCTTCCCAGCTTCTGCAGCTCCTGCTATAGCTGCTGCTCGTCTCTCTTTAAGGTTTACCGTTTCTCTACAACGTTTCGCAAGTTTGAAGGTAAGGTTTCGATTGCCTGTAGTTCGTGCGATTCCACGTCGACGCATCAGTTTCGAGCGACTGCGGAGACAAGTGTCTTTTGTGACTTTGAGATACACGTCATTCATAGCGCTGACGTAATGATATTCAACGAGCAGGTCGTATTCTTCGTCGACGCTGTCGACAACTGTATCTTCCCAGCAGAAGACTAATAATTTGAATACATCCCAGTTTACGGTAGTTAGGGACTTCGTTATTTGAATTTAGCGGTTTTCTCTCCCTTCCGTGAAAAACAGAGCGCGATAAGGGCGATGGTCTGATTAAGTGTAGAACTTGGGAACGACTGCGACATCGCTCGGCGCAACCTTCAATTTACTGAGATGTGGCCTTTTTGTTCATTGTACGCTTCATTGAGAGACACCCACGTCCATCGCTGAGAGAGACGTTTCTGAAATTGTGATATACCATAGATGGTTTGGATCGCCAGCCTCTCACCTTGTTCATTCCATTCTAGTCCAAAGGTTCCAGTGTGGCGTCCTTCAGACGTTTTTCTAGGTTCAATTTCCGCGTTGATATCTCCAACAGTGACCTTGAGGAAGGTATGGTCTTTTCCGAAGAACTTTTCGAGGTCCATATAGAGCGCTTCGACTTCGTCTTTGTCATGGCTTGATGTTCGTGTGTAAGCAACAAGCATGGTCAATGTCGGCATTGATCTTCATCGTTTCAACCACAATCGTCCGATACGGGTTGCTAGTTGCTCGAATGAATCGATGATGACGGTCAAATTCCGCTTGGCAAGAACGCCAACTTTTCCGGCACCTCTGCGATCGCATGTTCCAGATAACATTTCTTCTTTGGTGTCGCAATTAGCGTGAAAATGATGGCGTATTCTCGTTTCAGTCGGGCCAATGACGTCGTAGCTTACTTTTTTTTGCTTGAATCGGTAGATCTTCTACAGCGGATCTGTGAGCAAGCATTTATGCATTATATGCATTCACGCATTTACTCACGAATAGCACATAGACTTTATGCATTTACTCACGAATAGTTGTTCTTAGTATACTCTGCTGTACTTAGTATATTGATACCCAACGCATAGCTTGCTAGCATCGAAACGTGAAGGCTGGTTACTCACGAATAGCTTGCCAGTCTTCCCCGGAGGAGCGAGTGTAGCTTGTTTGTTGGAGGTGACTCCTAACCGACTCCCATATACTTCCCAGCCGCTTGATTGCAGGCTTCTGGCCGACTTGACTAGTAGAAATAGAGTTTTGTCAAGTCGGCGCTGCAAAAGCAAGGGAGCTCACCCCTGAATCCACCTGCGTCTCTGTAAAGCACACGGTCGCCTTTGGTTTGCGTTTATTCCCCTATCCACCACCTGGGGACGCGACACGTGTCCTCGCAACTAATCGGGCGGGATCTCTCAATGAGGGAGGTCAGTGGCTACATGTGCTACCTATTCATTAATACTCTCGATAATTTTTGGATATTAGCAGACTTCAGTGGTTGAGACCTAGACAGAATTTTAGAGTAGACATTATTCTACCAATCTATGAGTATTTCTCTTATATATTCGCTTATACTTCACAGTGAACATTATTCGTCGTTGCAATCTTTGCCGCCGTACTACCAAGTTTCGTATTTTACGTAGAGTACAAGCAAACACTCTGCCTCACTTTCATCGATCTGAAGAAAGCCTTCGATTCAGTGGAAACAGAAGCGGTTATGGAGGCTCTGGATAACCAGGGCGTCCCTACTCGCTACATAATGAGCCTTCGTGAGCTTTATAAAGAATTTACGATCAAAATATCTCCATTCTACAACAATGTCACCATTGACGTAAGAAAAGGGTTTTGACAAGGCGATATAATTTCACCAAACTATTCACTGCCACCCTACAAACGTCATGCGAACATTAGAATGGGGCGATATGGGAGTAGAAATTGACGGTCGACAATTAAACCATCTTCGCTTTGCTAACGATATCGTTCTCATAACACCAAACATCAGTCAAGCGGAGCAAATGTTGACCGATTTCGATAACGCCACTGGAAAGATTGGTCTTCAAGTAAATCTTACAAAACAATGTTCATGAGGAACGGTTGGGTTTCGAATGCCCCATTCACGCTCATCGGAACGACAGTCTCCGAATGCTCCAGTTACGCCTGCCTAGGTGGTGAAATCAACATGATGAGCGACCTAACTCCAGAGTTGAGCAGGAGGAAACGAGTGGCTTGAGGAACGTTTAGGAGCATTGAAGATGTAATGAAGAGGACAAAGAACATCCGACTCCGTGCCCACCTTTTCGATTCGAT